ATATATATATATATATATATATATATATATATAAAATGTTTAAAGCAAGGCTTGCAGGAAAATTATTATAATTGCTACCTCTATGGGTGCTTTGATTTCAGATACAGAGTATGCTCCCAGCAATGCTTTTATTATAATTCATAAAACTGCTGTTTGAATTTTTCTTGCTGAACTCTTTGGAGGTAAAATAACGGTTCTGCTCTACATACCAAAGACTACATTTAAAGTTAAAACAAAACTTATAAACCATTTGTTTGTAGACTAAATAACAAAAATGCACTTATAAAATACCATTTGTATGACTTTAAATTACGCTCGAGTGTGCTACCGTCTGGGTTCATCTTTGAATCTTCGAATGGTCATCAGAGTCTTATCAACATCTTGTTATCTGAAACATGAAAAAATATATCCACTCAGTAAAATTTTGTTGCTGTATCACTTATTTTTAAGTACAAAGTACCTCTGTGTGGTTGACAGATTTGTGTTCTTGATCTGAAACTGTTTGTTTATATTTAATGTTTATGGTTTTTTAAAACCATTACTGTGAATTTATATGTGTACATACAAGACTAACATTTTAACCGCATGTGTTAAGTCACATTTCATCCAATTTTAAATTATTTTAAGCGTCAGTGCAACTAAAACCTTTCAAGCAAAACAGTTGGTGTTCAAAATATGTTTTTCTATAATAAAACAGACTTGATCTATCCCAGTTTGCTTTTCAAACAATGCAAGACACATTGTTTCCCACACTGACTGTGAACAATATCTCACTTTCAAAAGGGAGATTTACTAGCAGGGATGCATTTTGAAGAAATTATCAGAGTGGATGCATGCTTTTGATATCACTGGCAAGTGCTTTGCATTTTACATAAAACAGCAAATGCTGAGCAGACAGAATCAGAAAGTGACGTGTGAGCTTCATTAAATGTAGTTTGCACTCACTAACTATCATTATTAAATAAACACATGTTGCACAAGAACATTTTCTGCAAGTTTAGTACAATTTTGAGTGAAATTAAAAAAAAATTGTATTTGTATGTGTATATATATATATATATATATATTATATATATATATTTTATATATATGGGCTCGTTGACTTA